CTTAAGCTACATAATCTTTACTCCCTGGAATGGAGATAAGAAACGCCCTAACCTTTGGAATAGAAATTGATAGGATTAAAATCAACTGGTATAAATACAGATGTAACAAGACACTAAAACACAGAACCTTGCTGGAGAACCTACACAGAACCTGGCTGGAGATCCTGGTTTGAACCTGGCTAGGCTGCTGATCAACTGAACGCTGTCTCCGTGTCATTCCTTCTACGCCGATTCTGTCCACACCTTTGGGGACCTCTGGACCTGCTGGGGTTGGACCCCAACACGTGGCCCCCTCCCCGTCCTCGCACTGAGAACTGTGGGTACCGATGGATGTGGCTGAGAGCCCTGAACGGGACCCTCGCTCTCCAGAGTTCGAAGAGGAGGAGCAGCAAGGACTCTTGGATGGTGACATTCTGAGAGAACGTGGGTCTGATCAGGATTTGGACAAAGCTGCAGGGAGGGCTTCTGATTTGGAGGATGAGGAAAATGCTGCCCTGGGACTGAGCCAGGAGGAAGAGGAAAGTCGCTCTGATGAGGAGGATCAGGACCAGGACTCTGAGCCTCAGGAGCTGAACAGGGGCCCTACGAGCCCCCCTCATGCAGAGGAAGGGGATGGGGGGGAGGAAGACCGCACAAGTGATCTGAGGGACGAGGCCTCCTCGGTCACCAGGGAACTGGACGAGCATGAGTTAGACTATGATGAGGAGGTCCCCGAAGAGCCAGCCCCCACTGGGCAGGAGGACGAAGCAGAGAAGGCTGGGGCAGAGGAGGATGAGGAAAAGGGAGAAGGAGCTCCCGAGGAGGAGGGAAAGGCCGATGTCCACAGTGTGGAAGAAAAGGAGCCCCTGGAGGCAGCCAAGGAGACAAAAAAAGAGGATGACGACGACGGAGAGATTGATGATGGGGAGATGGATGATGATGATCTGGAAGAGGGCGAAGTAAAGGACCCCAGTGACAGGAAGGTGAGGCCTCGTCCCACCTGCCGATTCTTCATGAAAGATGTTGTGACACCATTATCCACTCTTCTGCCGCCAATATCAAATTCCATACCATTCAGAGACCAGGTTACAGGGAACTGTACCTGGGGAATGAATTGTAGGTTTATACACCCTGGAGTCAACGACAAGGGCAACTACTCCCTAATCACCAAAGCCGAACCTTTCCGGCCTAAAGGTGCCCCACCTCTCGGACCTCACCCACTGATGCCTGCCACCCCTTGGGGTGGGCCCGAAGTTGATGAAATGTTGCCTCCACCCCCTCCAGAACCCCCCACAGAGAGTGCCTGGGAACGAGGACTTCGGCGTGCCAAGGAGGTTTTAAAAAAAGCAACCATTCAAAAAGAAGGGGAGCCTGATTTTGAAGAGAAAAGGTTTACTGTGACCATTGGTGAGGATGAACGGGAGTTTGACAAAGAAAATGAAGTTTTCCGAGATTGGAATTATCGGATTACAAGAGATGCCAGAGACACAACACTTGAGCCTTATGCAGATCTTTATTATGATTATGAAATAGACAGGTTCTGGCGTGGCGGGCAGTATGAGAATTTCAGGGTGCAATATACAGCAACAGAACCGTACCAGAATTACCGGGAACAGGAAAGGGAAAGAGAGCGAGAGAACAGACAGCGGGAGCGAGACCGAGAACGCGACAAGGAGCAGCGGCGGAAGAAAGAGGAGTGGGAGCGAGAGCGGGCCAAACGGGACGAGAAGGACAGACGGCACAGAGACAGAGACAGAGGGAAAGAGCTACCAGAATTACCGGGAACAGGAAAGGGAAAGAGAGCTAGAGAACAGACAGCTGGAGCGAGACCGAGAACGCGACAAGGAGCGGCAGCGGAGGAAAGAGGAGTGGGAGCGAGAGCGAGCCAAACGGGACGAGAAGGACAGACGGCACAGAGACAGAGACAGAGGGAAAGAGCGGGCGAAGGAAAAGGAGAAGCCAAAGCCCCGCTCCCCACAGCCACCAAGCCGACAAGCTGAGCCACCCAAGAAGGAGGCAGTCTCCGCTGGGCCATGGGTGAAGCGAGCAGAGGAGTGGAAAGACCCTTGGCGCCGGTCCAAGTCTCCCAAGAAGAAACTTGGTGCATCGGTCTCCCCTATCCATGCACGAAGGCATCGAAAACCGTCAGCCTCATCCGCCTCTGCCTCCCATGCCTCCAGGTCGTCCTCATGGTCCTCCTCCTCCTCTGGCTCTGGCTCGTCAAGGTCCCAGTCCTTTTCCTCCTCCCCATCCCCCTCTCCAACGCCTTCTCCACACAGACCTGCTGTCAGAGCCAAGGGGGAGCCAGCTCTGCCTCCTGGGAAAGCAGGAGAGAAGATGGTGAAGAAACCAGCCCCCAAGACCCCTGCCCCCACCCCTGCGCCTGCCCAGCCAGGAGGCCCTCGGGAAGCCAGGAGGAGGGAGCGCCGAGCCAGGATCCCCCCCAGGAGGCGGCCCATCGGGGGCAGTGGCAGGGGCAGCAGCTCCAGCGGCTCTCGTTCCAGATCCAGGTCCTTGGGCGTGAGCAGCGTCTCCTCCGTGTCCAGCGCCACGTCCAGCAGCAGCAGCAGCAGCTCGGTGCACAGCCTGGGCTCGGACGACATGTACGCAGACCTGGCCAGCCCTGTGTCCCCGGCCAGCTCCCGGTCCCCCACCCCAGCCCAGGCCAAGAAGGAGAAAGCAGGAAAATCTAAAAGAGAAGATGGCGTGAAAGAGGATCAGCGGAAAAGGGATGCATCCACACGGCCACCCAAATCCTCCAAATCGTCCACAGGCAGGAAATCCTCCCAGCAGCCCACAGCTCCCCAGCGGGCACCCTCTGGGCAGCCCCCGCAGGGCACATGGGTGGCACACAAGGAGATCAAGCTGACGCTGCTGAACAAGGCCGCTGATACAGGGAGCAGGAAGCGATCTGAGCCCTCAGACAAGGACAGGCTAAGCCCTCCTCCAGCCAAGCGGGCCCACGTCTCCCCAGACCGAGGTTCTCGGGGCCGGACGTCAGGGGGGAGATGGGGCTCTCCCAGGCCAGGACGGCAGAGACGCCAGGATGCCAAGGCTCCCGTGGCCCTGCCAGACAGGAAGCGTCCACTGTCCCCCCAGTCCAAGAGCTGCAGCAAGGTCACCAGTGTGCCTGGGAAAGCCTCAGACGCCTCCACGGGCACCAAGTCAGGGAAGGCCAACACGCTGTCGAGGCGGGAGGAGCTCCTAAGACAGCTCAAAGCCCTGGAGGACGCCATCGCTCGCAAGCGGGCCAAGATTCGCGGGAAAGTGTAATGGGGGCCCCGCGGGCTCAGCTCCCCTGCCAGAGGCAAAGACTCGTGTGTTTTCATACATAGGGGAAGCGCAGCCGGGTTGGGTTTTGCAGTTAATGTCTTATTTTGGCTGTGATTCTTTTTAAAAATTAAAAAAAATAACAAATAAAAAAAAGTTTCTCAGCTGGAAAAGAAGCCACACACACATCATGAAGATGACGCTGAACCTCAGCCTTCTCCCAACCACACTGACCAGTCCTTCCCAGAGCAGACACAGACAGGCAGGCAGACAGCACCGAGCGAGGACATGGCACCGTTTTGTGTAAATTTTAAGTCCCAGATGCCCGGATCAGCCGGCCCATACATTTTTTCTTCCCCATCTTCTCTTCCTCCCTCGGTTAGTCAGGCAAGTTCGCGCCCTGCTGTGTGCCGTGTCCTCACCACACGGCTCTCCTACTGTGGACAGGAACACCTAGTGCTACTGAGCAACCTCTTCCCCACCCCTGCCCATCCCCAGGATCAAAAAAAAATATATATATATATATTCTTGACTAAAGTCTGACTGGGAAATAGTTCCTGTCTTTTATTTTAAGCATCAAATTGTTTTAGTTGATTTGAATTAAAGTCTGGGAAATAGTTCCTGTCTTTTATTTTAAGCATCAAATTCTTTTGGTTGATTTGAAAATGAAAATATATAGAAAAGACCAAAAAAAAGGCCATGGGTATTGTTGGGCGTCTGTCTAATGTGGAGGGTCTTTTTTTGAGGGTTTTTTTTTTTAAAAAAAGAGTAGGCCTTCCTTCCCCCAGCTGCCGGCACCAGCTTCCCTCTGGCACCCAGGACCCAGGCTTTCCTCCTCGGGCTGCTGGCAGGTACCCAAGACCCCAGCCGGCTTCCCTCCAGCCCCAGCTTTGTCAGGAAGGATGTCCGGAATGATGTCTGGAAGATGTCCAGTCTATTTGGTATATTTCCCTTTTATTATTATAGATGAGGTCATACTGGAGCATGACCAATACGACTGTGTCATCATGAAAAGAGGAGGGGGAGTCCCTCAGGGGAAATGCCAGTTGGTGACAGAGGCAGAGCTTAGAGAGATACAGATACAAGCTAAGGAATGCCAAAGATTGACGGTCAGCACCAGAAGGTAGGTGTTGGGGTCCAACCCCAGCAGGTCCAGGGGTCCCCAAAGGTGTGGACGGAGTCGGCGAAGAAGGAATGACACGGAGACAGCCTTCAGTTGATCAGCAGCCTAGTCAGGCCCTCTAACCAGGATCTCCTGCCAAAGTTCTGGTTAGGATCTGATCAGGATCTGATGTTTATTGTCTTGTTACATCTATATTTATACCAGCCGATTTTAATCCTGTCAATTTCTATTACAAAGGTTAGGGCGTTTCTTATCTCCATTCCAGGGAGTAAAGATTATGTAGCTTAACTACCCGCCTGGCACTTAATTAAGGGGTTGTATCCCCTCCCTAACCTCAGGGAAAAATCCCCACCTGGGGAAACAACCTTTCTCAGAGAGGTGACCTTGGTTAAAACACATGGCGCTAAGGAGAGCAAACATATTAAGAACAATATGCTATATATGCCAGGTCCCTTGAAACATATGCTGTGCAGATGTTTCTTTCCTGCAGCGACTGTGTCAAGCAGTAAGAATGGACCGGCTTCCGGCAGGTAGGGGGAGGCAAAGAAGGACCCTCCCTTACAGCCTGCACAGGGAGCATGGCTCTGCTGACACCTTGATTTTGAACTTCTGGGCTCCGTAACTGTGACAGAATAAATATATGTTGTTTTACATAATCCACCCAACTTGTGCTGCTTTGTTGATGCAGCCCTAGGAAACTACAGAGCCTGTCACCCTGAGAAAAAAAAAACCCACAATAATTACAGTGACCTACTTGGTCTTTCCACTTTGGTTCCCATCTTGTCCAGGATCTCATCTCCCACTACATTGTTTGCCTAGTTCTCTCTACTCTAGCCACAATGGCTTTTATGGTGTTTCTCCGATATTCTACACTTACTCTACCCTGCGGGAACTGACATTTTCTGTTCCCTGCTTGAAAAGCTCTTCCCTCAGATATCTAGACTGCTTGCTTTGACACTTTACTCATATTCCACAACCTGTTAGAATGTCTCTGGCCATCATGTTAATAATTAAAATGATATCCCTCAAACTCCCTATCTCTCTTTTCTAGACTTTTTTTTTTTTTAATTCCAGAGTGCTTCTTATATACTTATGTTCTATGTTTTAATACTTAATGTATTGGGTTTTTGAAATTTTTATCACCATTATGTCCCCAGCATTTGGTATAGTAGCTGACACACAGTAGACACACTCAAGTTGTTTTTTGGAAGAGTGAATAAACCTGTGGCATATTCAGAGAACTTTGAATAATTGAGTATGGCTATGTTTGATTTTTTCTTTCTAGTCAGGGTATGAAGTATTATATCAGGCTGAAAATTAGTCAAAATCCAGGCTGTAGATGATCATGTATGCCGTATCAAAGATTTGTTAACTTATCTTTTACTTAAATTGTTTTCAAAATTGTTTCATTGCAATTTTGTTACAGTTGCCTGTAGTGAAACACATTATTCAAATGAAAATCTTACAAAAATATATACAAGAGATAGTGTTAAGCTGCTTAGTAAGAAACAAAAAAGTGGGTCTCCGAATCTTTCTCTCTGTTTCTTTTCTTATTCACAACACCTTAAGGTCACCATATTCACCCAGGGGTTCCTAAGAGCACAAGCTGAAAAGCACCGCTTTAAGCAACAGAAAACCTCAGAAGGATCAAACAAAGCAGTTACTGTACATGATGAGATTTGCATTTTATTAGATAACAAGGACAACAGTCTAAAGGATAAATCAGAGGCTTGCAAAACTGAAGGCAGAAAAAGGGCAGCAGGGAAGACACCACAATAATCCAGAAGAGCTATCACAAGAGCCTGAACCAAGAAAATCTCAGTAGGGAACATGATCAACAAGTGAGAAATAGTGTCGCTAAACCCCGATAAATTGATTTAATGTGAAGAGTGGGGGGAGGGGAGAGAAAGGGAGATTTCCAGGTTTCTAAGTAGGGTCACTGAGCAGGAAATGACCACTGACTAATATAGAGGTTGTAGAAGAGGAGTTCAGGCCTCAGGACCTGTAGGACATTCAGGTGCATGTGCCCAGTAGCTAAGGGAAAGCATCATGCTGGGATTTAGCACTGGGTATTACCTTATTCAGCGTTTACTCACTAACTTAAAAACAACCATTGAGAATTAAGAGGAAGAAAAAGCATAATAGAGGAACCTGAAAACATTTTTTTTGCAGAGTACATTTTCTATCATCCATGATAAATATTCTTATTCATATTATTTTAATGCTATCTTTTATAATTCATGATAATGCAATATTTCAGGAGACATGTTTCTATGACCAGTACTATGGCTGATGCCAGATAGGATATAATTTTTATAGTTTAAAATAAATTTGAATTTAAAATGAATCCTTTAACTTTCTGTTATCACAACCACCTCTCCTAAACGTCTTGATGCTTAAGACTGAGTTCTAAAAACATGCAGTTGCTCAAAATATTAAAAAAATAACAACCATTGAGTTCTTTCAATATTCCCTATGTTTTGCAAGTTGAGGAGCACACGGTGGAACAAAACAGTCACTTTTCTTCTGTGCAGTGATAAGAAATGACAGGCAAAATTTGAAAGGGGGAAGGGGGAGCTCTCTGCCCTGTGTATCACTAAAAAAAGAAGAATCAGAAAAAGGCTTTGCCAAGTTAATAAGTTATTGACTCTCAGCTCCAAATTCACCCTTTTTGCCTGCTCTATAAAAATGAATCTTGGCCCTAACCGGTTTGGCTCAGTGGATAGAGCGTCGGCCTGCAGACTGAAAGGTCCCAGGTTTGATTCCGGTCAAGGGCATGTACTGTGGTTGTGGGCACATCCCCAGTGGGAGGTGTGCAGGAGGCAGCTGATCAATGTTTCTCTCTCATCGATGTTTCTAACTCTCTATCCCTCTCCCTTCCTCTCTGTAAAAAATCAATAAAATATATTAACAAAAATGAATCTTGGTTTTTTACATTTTTGTTTCCTTTTCCAGCTGCCATGTTGCTAAGTTTTCTCAGTCCAGGGAGATGGGGAGACACTGCAGGAGGAAATGGTTTGTTTCCTGTTGTAGGTGTGCTCACTTGGGTGCCTGTATGGCTCCAGCGGCTCCTCCAGCACGCATTTCCTGCAGTGCACATGCATGGTATTGCTAGTGCCTGGCTCCTATAATTACAGCAGCCAGCATCACCCAAAAGCCACCACCTTCTGCCTGCAACCGCATTGGACAACGTTTGGTGAAGACATCTGATGAGGCACCTCCCTGTGAAAAGCCTTTCCTGGCATCCTTCAGAGTGGACTTCCTGCAAGTTCTACCGGGACCACAGCAATCCCACCATCACCCAGCAAACACAGTCATGCTCTCCCCAACACGGTCTGGGTCTCATTTCTGGTGAAGAAAACTTCCTCAGGAGCTCCATCTCAGCCCTAGGGGTGGTAGCTGATGTTATGTTATATATCCAATTTTATTTTATATACTTGCTATTCCTATATTCTCTAAAGATTCCTTTACTGCTTATGAGCCAATCCTGCATTACTCCATTTTCCTATTGTAGTCAAATATTCTTTATATCATCTATGTTCAGAACACTGTATGGTTTCCTTCTCTTTTGATCAAGACTTATTCAGAGGTCAAAGAAGAATGATTAACATATAAACAGGATAAAATAGTTGCACGGATGACAATAAAGCGGAGAATTTAAAAAACAACAAAAAAATAGAATTCTTATTTTATATCACGCTTGGTCAAGAACCCACACATAACCTGCCAGCCGTAGGCAGAACCACCCAGGGCCAGGTCCCCTTTCTGGTAACAATATGAGGTTTCTAGAGTAGTTAAATACACAGAAACAGAAACTAGAATTGTGGTCACCAAGATCTTGGAAGAAGGTAGAAATAGTGAGTTGTTATTTATTGGATAT